ATTCCTCTTACAAAGTACTACTGCCTTCTAATTTCTCCCAGATTCTGTCACCAAAAAATATTTGTGGATCTTATACCATGTCGCTTCAGGCAAGCTTGAAAATTGGCTGGTGTTTTGAACTCTACTGTTAGTAATGCAGGCGCTAGTCCAGTATTGGTCCGCTGTCAAATAGGTTAGGCTGCGTTCGCACTTTTCGGCAGCTTCCATCAACGACTAATAGCGTCCACCAGCGTTTCAGCAACTGGGAAAGTATAGATATTGATCTAGTGTCTGCCGGCGTCTGCCAACTTTTCGAGGGATAGGGAAATTTAGTTATCGATCCAGCGTCTGCAAGCGCCTAGCAGCGGCCAGCAGCGTCCGAGTAGAGAGTATGGGGAGAGGGGAGTGTAGCAGACTGCTGGTAAAGAGTATTGCGACAGGAGGGTAGCAGGCAGCTGTTGTCCTCCTACCACCATACTCTCTACTCCCGCTGACAGAAGCAGGGAACGATAACGCCATACTTTTCTGTCCCTGATTACCCTGAGCCGCCGGCTACACTGTTACGAAGATCGTTAAACGCTGGCCAATTCGCTAGAATTGATTAAGGCTTAAATACTTTTCTAAGTCGCCGACGACGCTCGAAACGCTGGTTTTCGCTGGTGGTCGCTGGTGGACGCTGCCGCAAAGCCTTATTTAGGGCATGCCAAGTCTCGTGAAGGTGAAGTGGTTTCAACGAAGTAGAAACCGCTTTTCGCACAGGGTTGCCACACCGGCGTATCTTGCTCTCTCGGCTTAGGTATGATCCTAACTCCCTAGCACTGAACACTGCTGTTCAAGGTTCCACAAAATCGAAGGAACGGCATAGAAAGAGTTGTGTGGAGAGGGGCGATTCCCTTATCATTGACTTGTCATGACATGGTGCAAGACACGACATGTGCCGACGTACTGGACTGCGGACCTGTACTGAATTAGCGCCTGTTAGAGTTCCCATTACCCATTCGTTGAGCTTCATTCAACAGCTGTAGCTGATCGGCCGCAATTGGTTCGTCTTCTGGAGCATCTCCAATAAGTATTGAGGAGTGTTTCTTAGGGGGAGCTGAAATATGTGCGAGATGAGGAATGGTACCCAGCAATACTGATACAGTACTGTTCGCTGCAGATGCCGAGGTGTGTCAGCGGGGCTGGAATTTGGACCAGTTCCCAGTTGTTACCGCTTGTCCCCTTCAATGGAGAGTAGGCCAACCCCATCCCTATGACACGCGCCGGCATCCCTAGCAGTAGCTCTCACCGGGTTTCAGTGGAGCACTTTCTTTTGCATCTTCTAACGATGCTGTTTTTGTCTTAGCATGTGCGGGACGGGCTGGAGGACGAGGAGGTGGAGCTTGCTTCTTTTTTTCATTACTGATCCCTTGACTTGACATAGTAGACGTTTTATTCTGGAATCGAAATCATCTGATTGAACTCTTCATCTTGCCTGCTTATTTTCAAATGAACTGAGGGACAGAGGGCATTCAGCTAGTTTTGAAATTGCTCTGCTCTTTTCGTAGGTGAAGAGGTGGAGGCGTCTCAACAAACATCGCGTGCGCGGCATTCGCACCAGGACCAAATTGAGTTTACGCGTTCTATTGGGTAAAATGAACATACATATCCATCCCGATCTATTGAGCTAGTTGAATCGTGCGGTTGGGAAAAGCCACGCGCGCCGAGCTCCTTTCTGCACGTCGTCGCAACTCGTACCTCCTGACCTGTAACCTACACGCGCCTGTCTCGATGGCTCGGTAATCTACCAGCTGGGTCTTGTAGCTGTGACCCTGTCAAATGGAAAAGTGACGCGGTCCGCTATTGAAGGGGATCTTTTAATCCGACTCGAAAATGCTTGACAAATACGCTACGGCTAAAGAAAAATGAGATGGCTCCGCCTTCGTGAGCTGGATCCACCTTTGCCGGGAACTAGAGTGGGCGTGGTTGTTTACTTCATTCATATGTGTTGACTGCAGGGGTTTTCGTAGAATATTATGATCTGAGCCACTGTACTCATGTCTTTGTTCAGGGCACAACCGTGTGGCAGTTGGCCCAAATGGAAAACTTTACGAGAAGCGCACCATACACCGTGTCAAGTGAAGTTCGAGCCACGCCTCTTCTGCCTTGTCAAGCCCAGATGCTAGCCAGCTATTCTACCAAATGGCCTCTGGATGGAATTTCAGTATTGAAAAAAAAAATTGAGCCTGTACACCATAGATGAACGTGCGAAGACCTTACAAACGCGATTGCGCACGCTATTCCTGCAGGTCTTCTGCCTTTCACATGTGGTAAATAATATTAACATCGTTATGTACATATGTAGGAGTATTATCTGAAAATGTTGTAGTACAATGCAAATGGTACTCAGACAGTATGCCAACAGGCTTGCCGCATGGATTCTGGTTTCCTTAAAGTCCCACAGCAAACGTTCTGGCAAGCTGTCAACATGTGCAGCATTCACGCAGAAGGAATGCATTGTATAGCGCCCGCTGCCGCAGTTGCCATATCACAAGTTAGGTGATAAGAGAATCGCACTGCCGCGCAGGGCTGTGGCAAGCGTCGCCGCGTGAGACGAGTCTCGCTACTTAGCGTTGTCACGCCAGCGTGAAATCTTGACGGGAGGGAAGCGATGACGCACTAAGACTCTAAGTGTTTAGATGCACATATCGTCAGCTACACGCTCTGTAGGAAAGTGCCAAAACGTTGTATTGTAAATGTGCGGCCGAAATATGGAGAAGTTCAAGGAATATGCAACGATTCTCACCAGTCCGCTGCTCCATTCGAGAAAATGACGCACACTTTGAATTTCCCGCGCTCATCGCTAAACGGCGCCGCGCCGCGCTAGCAACGGTGGCGACTAGCGATTCTCTGTCCGGTTTCCGCGCACCCTCAGCTAAGCCTGCTGCATCCCCCCACTTTCCGCGCAAGGTAACTCGTCCGTCGTCGCACCGATTTCGCCGCGCACCATGCGATACTCCGGCAGTAAACAGAGCTTGCACAGAAAAGCGCGTAGGCCAAACGTGAGAAGTACATGCACCTAGTGCGCCTAGCCTGAATGGAAGTAGGGTCTGTCGTGAAGCGCGTTGCGTGATTGCGGCGTAGTGGGGGCCGCTTCATCACCGGCCTAAATTTCCTGACGAAAAGAATGGGTGCGCTCAACAGCTGCGGGCCTACTCACGCTGACATATGGAAAGGTTAATGCATAGGTTTCGAATTCGGTGGGATGTGGGGGCCCTATACTGATAGCAGGTGGTAAGGTCAAATACGATGGGCTTCGGTCGATATGGAACAGCGGAGTTTATCGCTCTGAAACGATAGGGCAGCGGCACCCTCTAAGCGGCGTGAGGGGTTGTTTTGTTGGAGGTGCGTTCCGTGTACTAAAGGGCGGAGTAGCTGCCCCAGGTATGGTGTCCGCCCCACGCAGATTGGAGCGCGGCACGTAACTTTACGGCCGTCTAGCGCCATCTACATGTCCTGATGACGAGTAACCTAGTTTTGCCGGATGCGCGTGATCACTTCCGAAACTTCTCACTATAAGAAGCTTCCCCATTTAGAATATCTTCAGCTGCAGCATAGCTAACGTTGTGGAACGAACTCACGTGTAATTGAAGAGCATCTACCATAGAGCCGCCAGTTTGATGATGAGTAATACAAAGAATGATACCCACCCATTCGGTTTGCAGCGCTCTATCAGTTAATGCAAATGAAGTTGTTCGCCTACAAGGCTTTCATTTTCAGTCTCGTTATCAACAGAAACTGCGCCTCAGAAATCTTCACCGAATCCTTTCTTTCTGCCCTGGCCTGAGAAGCAAGCCTCGAGTACCTTCAGATACTGCCTAGAAACTCGGCGATATTCCGAGTCCAGTAGACTCGCATGTCAACTTTACTGATCTTCCTATCTTCCGCTGTTCAAATGGGAAATAATAGGCTACATGCGAATAGCTTCGGTTTTTCGTCAAGTAGTTTGAATTCTGATAACTTATCCCACGCGAAACGTCCATAAAAACGGCAGCTAGAATAGCCGCTTTCTGCCAACATTCCGAAGGATTTCGGGAGTCCTTCGGCCAGAAATCCGACCACTGGTATAGGCGATGATGTTTGGTTCGAGCACTATCGGTGTTTGATAAGATGGACAAAAAGTTTTGCAAGGGCTTTGAACTCCGCTGAAATTCCTTCCCCCTTGCTCTCGCAATCGATCGAAATCCATCTCGAGCGGTCTCCGAGGCAGAATGAAATCTTTTTTTGCAGGGGTTCCGAAATACGGAGATACCGCGTACGGAATAAAGATGGCTTTTTCGGTTGCGCTTCTGCCGGAGGGGGGAAGGGAGGGTCTCCGAAGGTCGCTGGATGTTTGGTGCTTTCAACCTCAAGTATGACGCCTTTTTACGCAGGTGTTCGGAAGGAGGGGATGAAATTTTTTGCAAGGACTTCTGTGCCCGCTGAAACCCCTTCCCCCCGCTTGCTCTCCGCATCGATGTATCACTTTCGCAATGGCTCTGAACCCCGCTGCAATCCATCTTGAGCGGGCTTCGAGGCAGAATGGAATCCCTTTTGCAAGGGCTCCGACATAAGGGGATACCACGTACGGAATCGATGCTGGGGGAGGGTCTCCGAAGGTCGCTGAGATGCTCCTTTGGTGCTTTTCGACCCTCAACTAAGGACCCCTTTTTACGCGGTGTTCGATAAGGAAGGGATGAAATGCTTGCAGCGGACCTGTGCCGCCGCGCTGAAAGTCCGCTTCCCGACAAGTTGTAAAGACTTATGCAGCGGATTGCGAGTCTTTTGAAAGTCCCCTGAAGTGCCATTATTTTCCAGCGACGCGGTTCGAGCCCGCACTGCCTCGCAGATGAGCGCGCTTTGAGCGCCATGCCCTCAATTCGAGTTTTCCATTCAGAGAACTCTATCAAGCAATTATTTTGTTTATCAGTTATCATACAGTATCTGAGTAGAAAACAATGTACATTCATTGCCACAGTTGTTTGAATGCCAGCCGGTCTCTCATGTTAGTGTTACTAATGGTTCGTTTTGCTTTATCGATTACTCGAAACTCACGCAAAGTAAATACAGTTTTGAAAAAATAAACACTCTTAGCACCTTCTATGTGCTGTTGGATCTATACTTGCCACCACCTTATGCGCCGAAAAGAGAGAAGTGAGGACTTCGGACCATATGCCGGCTTCGGTGTGTCCCCGGGCGTCTGTGTTTATCTTCTTTTCATCTTTTACCCAGCTTGTTTTCGGTTGCTGATTTGTCTCCGCCTTCATTTCAGAAGCGTCAGACTCAAAGGTCCATCATGGTGGTGGCATCTTCAACATCTGCGACTACTCAGTCAACAGAAAAGGTTGGTAAAAAAGTGGACAGTAATGAAGGCAAGAAACAAGAGAAAAAGGAAAAATCGGCGGAAAAGCTCCCAAGAAAATGAAGGCCAAGAAAGCCTATGGAGAGAAGGCGACGGAACAAGCGCGAGAAATGGTAAAACAGAAACAAGTTGAGAAGGCAGACCAATGTGAAAACAGAGGCGACCCAGATGGAGCTGCTCGAGAAGAAGGCAAATGACGAGAAAAAGGAGGCTGAAACTCAACCAAAACTTGTGTATTATAACCAATCCACCAGCGCTAAGTCATGGAGTGAGTTGTCTTCAAGAATTGCTTGGAGTGAAGTCCCAGAATTGGCAGGTTTTTTTTTGTTTTTTTTTTTTATCTATGTGGCTCCTTTCTGCCTCGAAGTACAGCTTCACCCACCACGGCTAATGCCGTTTGGACTCCAGAAATTTCGAGCTCATTTTAAAAGTGGCAAGATCACCAAATCCGCTAAAAACTTGTATATAGGGGTAATTCAACATCCTGATCACGAATATGACATTCATTTTTGGCGCTGGCGCTAATGGATGACACTACGGTTACCTGCGCTCTGCTAAGGCTGAGCCCAGGAGGTAATCGTAGTGTCTCTCTTTCTTGGCGCGCCAGCGCCAAGAATGAGTGTCATACTCGTGATCAGGATGTTGAGTTAACCCCTATATACAAGTTTTTTAGTGGATTTGGTGACTTAGGCAATTTGAAAATGAGCTCGAAGACGAAATTTCTGGAGTCCGCAAACGGCATTAGCCACCCACCACCTTAGCTATCCTTGACTCAATGAGAAACAGGGGTGCTCTGGAAGGGGCATGTTTGTAAGGATGCGTCAACGGAAGTAAGCCCAGGAGTCTCGGAAAAAAAAAAAGGGTCTAGAATAGCAAACCTTCAGCCTCCTACGGTGAGCCTGTCGGCTGCAGGAGAGGAAAAACACTGAGAAAACGTCTTTTTTCAAGATTACTACACTTTGAGACGCTGCTTGGCTTTGGGAGGGGGGAGGGGGTGATAGGAGATTCTGCACATCCGCTTGCTCCTATTATTAGGTCATGTTAGCTGGAAAGCTTACTTTCTGGAGACCTGTAAGCAGCGAAATGGTGAAAGCGAGCCACTTCGGTTACAGAAGTTAACTAGTTTTACTAAATGCCTGTACAAGCCTTCGCTTGAGTACCCTTTGGTGGCCCACCACACGGAAGCTGACTAAATACCTCTTCAAAACTAGCTCATTCCCCCGCGGCAGCCTGCTTTTTTCGGAAAACGTGAATACGACTCCTTTCACAGCGAGGATTCTAGCGACGAATGGCTGGTGACTTTACGCCCCTTACGATCATACCTCATCATGGGAAAGGGGAGTAGTTCAGCACAATCGAAACGCTGTAAGAGTGGTGAAAGAGGCGTTGCGAGCGCCTCCGCATTAGGACCCAACTGGCTTATGGTGTTGCGCTGCGTCGATCCCAATTTGCGCGCGATATCGCGCCTGGGATGTCATTTTCAGGGTACAGCATCGTGATGTGTGAAAAGGAAAAATATTCTGCCAACGCAGCAAATTGCTCTTAAAGGCACACAGACTCGACGCCTGGCTTCTCCAAAGACCAGTACGACCCCCCTCCCTTCCGCAGCGGAAAGTACGACCCGCCTTTGTGTTCAGACACACCGATGCTGACCCCGGTGCATAGTAGGCAGTGGTTATACCAAGAAGCGATCTGGACTGCTTGTGTTTGAGCGCAGCCATATACAGATTCCTTCACAGGCAATGTAGCGCAACTCGAGGTGAGCACGCATTACTGCGGAAGACCCGCCCTACCTGCGCTCCCAAAAGCGTCGCGTAAAGACAGCTCCCGCGATAAAAGTGTCTTGGATAGTTGCTTTTCAATTATGAAACAGTAGCTGATAAGTAATCTCCCAAAGAAGAAAACAAGCAGGAAGCGTCCTCCAGAACAACATAAACAAAATCGCTCCCTCATAGTCACACCTCCCTGCGGTTGCAACCCCTAGCTCACAAATCTCTCTATCACATCTCGCAAAAGTTGATATCATCCAGTGCAAAAAAAGAATACAAAAAAAAAACAACAAAAACGCAGAGGAAAAACTCTTGGAAGGAAAAAGAAATTTTAAAAACTCGGTGTCCGAATTTTGGGTTACGGTAGCGCACATTTTAGTGCACTGAAGTGCGTCGAGCTTTTGCACCACGAAAATTGCGTCACTCGTGATTTTTACGCGTTTCACCTCGCGAGAAGGGTTGAGTTGAATGTAATAATGCCTCCACAGTAAACAGTTAATGAAGGAGAGTAGAATTATCGCATGAGCACAGTACGTCAGCAAGAAGGGGACGCAATTCGCGATGCAATGGCCGCCGATCCAACTCCCTAGAAGCAGACGGGTGGCCTCGTCGGGGGCATCTAGCAAGTAAAGGCGGTGCCAACTGAGCAGGGCGTTAGAAGTAAAACTTTGAGCGGACTGGAGTTCAGTGCCCACCGCTCCAGCTGTGGAGTCGAATAAGAGTGGGAGCCAGTCCCTAGCTTGGGGGCACGTACTCCTTGCAGCAAGGAAATCAATCATGTAGCTACTCGAGCGCTGGGGCTGTCTTAACGTCCTAATCGTCTGGGCATGGATCACCGATTGTAGGTTAATTTTCCACAGATGAAATGGAGGGCAGAATAATGGCTCCTCCCGCTCAATGTCCGGCCCAAACTTCCCCGACTTATCTTTCTAAACATTCGTCAAAGAGTCAGATATGCCCTGGCTAGAGGCCGGCATATCTGCAACAGGTTGCGTCAAACCGCTAAGCTGCACCCTGCGAAGACTGCGCTAACAGCTTATTCGCGCGATTCTGGTAGCTTAATCGGTGAGAAGCTTCTATCCACCAGACTGCTTGGCAGCATACAATCAGAAGCAATCTACGCAATAAAAAACCCAGACTGGTTTTCTTTGCTGCTTTGGACACCCTGCCGATTTCACTGTTAGTTTTGTTTTATCTTTTTCAGAAGGATCTCCGACTCTTTCTGAAAGAGGAACTCAAAATACACTAGCACTTTTGGCTGCGGCAGAAAAAATAGGTAAGTGCAATACAATGGTTCTGTACTGTAGTGGATTGATCAGTACTCGAATTCTCGTTTAGCAGGGGAAAAAGGCGACTATGACAGCTTTGGACCGCCTGGAGGAAAACCCACTAAAAAGAAGTGAAATTAAATAGTGGACGATAGTGTCGTTTTATTATTTGAAGAATTTAGCGTCATATTAATTGTGCTTCGGTACTACAATTCCTACAATGAAATCACGAATCAATAAACGTTTGGAAGGAGTTGCTGTTGACCAGAAAACTCCGTTACGGCCTTGTTCGCTGCGAATGAAGGGGCGTGTCGATGAGGCCGGGTTTGGCGTGCCGCAAGCCGGCGCAGCGCGGACGCTTTCGTTTTCATCACCTACTTCTGAGAGACGGGCCTTTCCTGGAATATGTGTAGTTATTACTCTGCTCACCGAACTATAAAAGCATGGATTCATTAGGAAATTTGTGGCTTCTGACAGATTCTATAAAGCTTTATTTGGCAAGCTATGAAATTCATTAACAAAAAAAGGCTATTTCGAAAGAATTCGATGCAACCTGCTGTATAGATATTAACGAAGAATTCGATCATCTATAGATATAACCGAGTAAATTGGCAAAGAAAAGTGATTACGACTGATGTTGTCACAATCAATCGGGGCGGTGCCGGGAAGGATGGAATCCGATCTTTATGGGTAGAAAATGCGGACGGGAATTGTCACCTCCCACGCCTTCTGACACCGCCACGATTGCAGCGATATCATGCACAGGTCTACTATCAAATTCAAGTTGAGATCGATGAAGAAGAGTACCCGTTGAGTTCTGGCAGATTCGGTGGTGGGAGTGGGGGAAGATGAGACTGACAAGAGTTCAATCTACGTCTCCTTATCCTGTGTTGAGCAATGAGCACGTTGCATTTCCGGCGATGAAGCGGCATACACTTTGTTCTGGTTGTGGACCGTTAGAACGCTTCCTGGTCTGATGACTTCTCGTATAGGCTGAAATGGAAATCAGAAGTAATATAAATACCACTATTAAATAAAAAATAAAATCAATGATGATAAATAATCAAGAAAGTCAGAGATTTTTCAGAAGGGACTGCCCAACCATTTGACAGCATCGACGTTCTTGTTAGAGTGGAACCGAACGCACACTCCATATCCCCGAGATAGGGTGGACGCGGCTGCGTACTTCATTTGACCAAGGTTCGCTCTTCACTAGGTACTTCTTATTTGCCCCCAAACCAACCGTAGGTCCTGCGTTGGGCACTATAAGAACATGATTACAAATGCTGGTTCTCTACTAAAAGCGCAACCACGCCACGTTCAGACGGAGTCCGCAGCCACGCCCTCCCATATTGAGCGTTTATAGACGCAACCATGTGCCCTAATGGATGATGTTTTTCCATGGTCTTCTACCGAACAGGATAAGAATTATCAAGTATATTTGCTGTAAAAGGGAGCTTCCAAGGTGACAATGGCCAAGTGAGGTGAGCAAAACCCAAAGCAGCCGAGCTTGACCGCGGCAGAGTTACTCAGTGGGTTTTATGAGGACCAACAAAACAGCAAGATTTGAACAAAAAAGGTTGCTGAATACTACTGAAAACTTTTGAGTTCTTACCGGCGGTAATCCATTCCGTATATGCCTTCGTTTGTTTCTCAAATACACCCGGACCTTCGTCATGACGACAATCATAAGCACTTCCACACAGCTCACTATCGGTACCACCAACAGAACAGATCTAGCCGTGCTATCGCCCAAATCCAGATGTGGGTTCTGAAAACAGTTTAGTGGAGAAGCGGAAGATTCAATGCTCTAGTATAGCTTCAGGCTTGCACTTCTTTTTGTGAAACTGAGTGAGATATGAATACAGATAGGGCTGCGGCTTGCTTTACGGCCTGCTCCTTACAGAACCGGAGAATCTTTCGAAAGGACTCGATACAAATTGATTCCGGTTCTACTGATGGGCGGAGTCGACAAAATCGAAACATCACTGATCTTTCTCATGGATTCTGCGCTCTACAA